CTTCATTGTCTATTTAACATCACAATAATTCATTATTAGGGCTATAGTTGTTTTTTTAATTGTACTCCACAAATCTCAGCCGATACCTCACACAACTCGAGTAACGTCTCGTATCTATTGTTGTGACGTCATGGCTCGCTGGCTCACACTTGCGATGTCTCGCACTTGTGATCAAATAACACGCTGGCTCGTACTTTGGCAACACTTTTTGGCAGTCAACTCGCCCCTAGAAAACCTGCCCTTGGAAACTTGCCCCATAAAAAAATTACACTTCCTAGACCATGCAGTCTTCAAAATAAAAATTGTAACCTTTGGTAATCAACTACATTTTCCACATACATAGAAATTTTTGAAACTTTATTAAAAAAAACCTAAACCATAATTCACCACTATAGACACTTTTTGACAAAAGTGAAAAATTACGACAATGAGAAGTGTTCTAATATAGACAATGGGTCGTGTCTCATATTATTTGTTATATTTTTATTATTCATTATTTTCACCTGACTTGCATAAATAATTTTGTTCGAAGGACATTTATGTGCAGTTGTACTTCGCAGCACTTCACTTGCAATTTGCAATTTCTAGTATACTGTATGTAAACCTTCCGTAAGAATACGTTATGTAAACAAATGTGTATATTGAAGGTAAGATACAGGATGCACTGCTTGTTAGCCAATCAAATAAGACAGTGCAGTTTTTTAGTGCAGTTTTTTTTAGAAATTGTGGCATAAAATTCAAGAATAAATTATTTAAATTTGACTCAAACAAATATATTTGTATGTATATATAGTTTGTATGAGACATATTTTATAATATGGATGATGAGGTCAGGAAAGGTCACACATACTGTAAATATAGGTCAGGTTCCTTTTATAGAGTACTATATATCATGGATCAACAAGTTCTTCCGTATTGCATCATATTGTGTATTAAAATAATAATAATAATAATAATAATAATAATAATAATGCATCATAACTGCAATTGTTTTTCTTTTTTAAATTTCCAAAATGTAGGGCCTACTCACTTCAACTTTAACCTTTATTTTTCTCTTTCCTTTTATATTTGCTTACTGCAATTACAAATTCTTGTATTATCATTGTTTTCATGTTACGAAAATATTATTTTATTTATTTGAATTTATAGTCTTCATCATCATTTATCATCATGATCATCATCCTCATCATCACTATCATCATTTTCATTTACAGTATTATTTTCTGAACAATTTGTGGTTCTATTATTTGATGATAATAGTTCACTTAAATAATTATAAAATAATAATTAAACAATATTATCATTGTTTATTGTTATTATTATAGTTTATTATTGTTATTGGCTATTTAGGCCCTGTTAACTGCAGTAACATCACCCACCTGCGAAGTGCATGAAGGCACGTTGCTGCATGTCGTCAGAACTTGTTACAATATATACCTTGCCAGTAAGAACCTCATCAACCAAACGACAGCTAAAGCAACGCTCACACAAATGCTTAACGTCATCTTCATACGGATGGAGCAACAGGCAGTGAGTATGAAGTTCGTGCCAAGTGGTGCGGGTGCATTATTGAGACTCCTGTGCTATATATACACCATTTTCACCAAATTTGAAATGAAAACTTCCGAGAACCTGGCAACTACAGCTGGGGACATCCAGAGGCATTTCGCTTCAGTTACCTATGTTTATCTGTGGCCGTGCACAGCTTTCTTCTTGTAGCCTAGTCTGTAAATACAAAATGCCAGAACAAAAAATGAAGAAAATAGAGGTGCCTAAACCTGTAGTATTTTAGGCTGTTTTGTTAACGCTGCTATGCCGGATATCCCCTGCAAAAAGTTGCATGTCTTCAGATGTTGGTGGCGCTGTTTAAAAATACACCCGATAAAATAGTGTATGCATATCCAATCACAGGATAGTATGTCTATCAGGATGTTTGAAAGTCAGTTTATTTGCATCAATGTATTTACTGTGTAAATAAAAACGAATATATTCAAACTCCTCCGGCTAGGGTCTAAAACTTCATTGCTCAGTTCAGCCTGACTTGGGCCTAGCCAGATTGGGCTCAGGGTTTTCACCATGCATAGTGCTGCAAGCATAACATAGGACATATTTATGTCAGTCTAGATATACTGGGAAGACTTTATTTGCTTGGATTTAATAAAAGCATTTTTTGCTTTTAGACTTTTCTTTGTTGAGGCAAACAGATTATGTACTATTTATTAGTTTATCACTACATGGAGAGGTAGGAAAATTGCATTGAAATTCTAATTCATGATTGGCAAACAAAATATTATTACTGATATTATTATTATTAGTTTTTTTTTTTCTATTTAGGCTCAGGAACAGAAGGTGAGAGAAGAGGAAGAATCAAAAGATAAATCAGAGGTGGAGAATAGTGTAAAAGGCCAGGATGAGAGAGATAACGGCAGTAAAGATATGACCAGTGCTGGGGATGGAGAGACACCGAATGTTATGGTCAATGGAGAAGTTGTTAGTCTTGAAGATGACCAAGGTACAAATCTCTAGAAGTTTCTTGATCTATAGTTTCAATTATGTGTCATTTTTGCTATTTTCAAAATGTTATAATATTTATGATTTTTTTTTGTTTTTGTGCTATTTTGAGGCCATTAAATTGCTGGTTTCTTTAAGCGTGTCTCTAATGCGCTCAGTGGACTAACAAATTCCTGTAACTTGCTACTCCCCCAAGGGTCTTATCATATCAATTGCAGCTTGTTGGCACTTTCTTCAAGTGGGTAAACCCCAGCTCTCCTTGAAGGATGCCCTGGGCTTTTTTAATTTGTGTACAGTGGGTGTATTGTTTATAGTCCTAATCCAGGAAGGCTTTCCACCAATAGAACCATGAGCGTTGAGTTAGCGTCTGCTGCCGATTTATTGCCATTGACTGGCTATGGCGCCCCTGCTTCAAGCTCGGCAACTAGACTCTCCCACTTTTAGTATGTTGTTCCTCTTTTAATTTTTAATTTCTTCAGTTGTTGCTAAGATAGTTTTATGGTTTTGTTCATTTACGATTGTGTTTTGAGTCAACGTTTTGTTTTTATTTTTCTGTTGATTTCTTTTACTTGTTTTCAATCGTTGAAACAGGGGAAGGAGACGGAGCAGAGGAGAATATTGAAATCATAGTCAAGACCATCCTCTCAGATATAGTAGATTCCATCATTATTGAAGGTTTGTAAAACAAGAAGATGTAATATTAACTTAATACCGAATGATTAATTTCTAGCTTATATCATCACCTTTGAACATGCATTTAATCCATGCAAATCGTCTGGGATTTCTTTTACAAACTAATCCATTACTATGCCTACTGATCACAAGCATATACTGTAGCTTGTGTGCTGTGGTTATGATGAGGGTTTTACCGAACTTGCAAATGTGAGGAATGTATTCCTTGTGTTCAGTATTTTTATACATCAAGAGGATAAATTTTCAGTTAACTCACCTTATACAGTGACACACAAATATCCTCTTGAGTCCATTTCCTCAGTTGTTTCCTAGCCTATGTTGTGAAAGCCAAGTACACAAACACAACTTTGTGGTGGAAATTCTCAGACAGAAAGCCATCTGGGAATGCATTGAATTTTCTCAAATAGTGCCTGGTATTTGGACAATATATGTATTGTGTACCGTTGTGCATAGCTTGCACACAATATGTTATATAGTGTGTGTATGTTATGATATCCAAATTCAATTATATTTTTTTACCAAAGAAACTAATTTTGTGGTTTTTTTTTACAGATGGCAAGATAGCAGGAGAAAGCCCATCTCCAACTGTGGCAACACCTGGGAGTGAGGAGGACCCTGGTGATGGCACTGTATCACCATTCTCTCACGTTTTGCAGAAGGATGCGTTTCTTATATTTAGGTCTCTATGCAAGCTGTCAATGAAACCCTTACCAGATGGTCCCACTGATCCAAAGTAAGGAAATAGGTGGTTGAATTTGATTGAGGTAGTGAAAGCGAAAGGCATTATAATGAATGAGGTTTTGATGATGGTGATAATGGTGATGGTGATGATAATGTTGATTGTGATTATAATGATGATGATAATGATGAGGTTGGTAATGATAATAATTATGGTGATAGTGATGATGATTTTGATGATGTTAGTAATGTGGTGATAGAGATGGTGATAAATAAATAAATATATTTTAGTACAGTACTTTTACTTTTTATAGTGAAGATGTACTTATGATTACTTCCTCATTTTAATATCATTAGATCGCATGAACTGCGTTCCAAGGTGCTATCGCTGCAGCTGTTACTGTCTGTCCTGCAAAATGCTGGCCCAGTGTTCCGTACAAATGAGATGTTTATTACCGCTATTAAGCAGTATCTTTGCGTGGCACTGTCCAAGAATGGTGTCTCATCAGTTCCGGAGGTTTTTGAGCTTTCATTGGCAATTTTCTTAGTTTTGTTGAGCAATTTTAAGACGCATCTCAAGATGCAGGTTGAGGTAAGTTTGACAATTTATTTATAATAATTAACCCATTTGTAAAGCCTAGGCTATTGGGTTATATATTTATAGATAACAATTCAATTCAATCTTTATGTCAAACACAGAAAAGAATATGGTTTGAAATTAAAAATAAAAATATTCTTATTGATACAATCACCTACTAAAAAACACACAACACAAACATCACATCATGAAATGTTAAAATATGAATGTAAGGGTTAACTTAGTTTGGAGGTTGGATAATATGTACTGTAGCATAGTAGCGTCATGTTCACATCATTCCATAACAACAGTCTTCATAACTTTTTGTATATCTATTTCATTTGAAATATTAATTGTTTTCATTTTTATTTTTTAGGTATTTTTCAAAGAAATTTTCTTAAATATATTGGAGACTTCCACAAGTTCGTTTGAACACAAGTGGATGGTAATTCAGGCATTGACACGGATATGTGCAGGTAAAACATTAAGTTGATTTCAACATTTTGTGCTGCCATTTTAAGAATAGAATATAATTATGAATCATTGATTCTTTACCTTGCCTGTCCAAAATGAATGAAAATTTTAGTCTTTTTGTGATCATTTTGTTATCTACCTATTTTGATGAAAAAAAAATCAACGTATGTAAAATTGAATTATGTAAAATTTTAAGATTTTTTTTTTTGCTCCAGATGCTCAGTGCGTTGTTGATATCTACCTCAACTATGACTGTGATTTAGCCCGGGCCAACATCTTTGAGCGTCTAATCAACGACTTGTCAAAGATCGCACAAGGGAGACAAGCCATTGAGCTTGGTGCAACCCCACAGCAAGAGAAAAGGATGCGGATTAAGGGCCTAGAGTGCCTCGTATCGATACTGAAGTGTATGGTGGAATGGAGTAAAGATCTGTATGTTAATCCAAACGTACAAACAAATTTAGGTAGGGGTAGAATCATTGTACATCCACAGTTTTTTTAAATGTAACAACATCAATTTTTATTTAATTTATATTTGTTTTAATATTGGTTAAAGTTATAATTAATTTTTTGTTTATAATTGCATATTGATTATTATCATTTATTTTAGTTAATTTGGCCACATTCAAGGCATCATAGAATAGAGTAATGTCGAAAAAGGAGCATAAGCAATTCAATCCTCACAGATGTTTTTGAAGCTTATTGTTTTTGTTTGTTTTACAGTACAAGAGAACACTGGAGGTTCTCACCCAGAACATCTGGACACTGACAGCGGCAAAGGAACCATGACAAGCTATGGCAGTCAAAACTCACTCAACTCAAATCATTCCTCAATTGCAGCTAACCAGAGTCAGGCGGCAACAGATAACCCTGAACAGTATGAGACATTAAAACAACAGAAAGAGATCATTGAACAAGGAATTGAATTGTAGGTGCAAAGTTAATTTGAGTAGTATCGATTGTTTTGTTTGAATTTTTTGTGTAGATGTTAGTGCATATAATTTATTTATTTGTATTTGTTTGTGTATAGTGCTATTATTTATCCAGGGAGTTAAAATTGGCTTCCGAAAATCTTGCGGCCAGGATTTACATTTGGTGGTCCCTGAGAACCTGTGGCCAGTGATTTAAGCTTGGCCTCTGACAACCTGTGGCCAGTGATTTAAGCTTGGCCCCTGATATCCTGTGGCCAGTGGCAGCCACAGTGCAGCACCATCCCTGGTGTGAGTTAGGTAGTTTATTGGGAGGCGCTTTTCTACATGAGTCAGTTTCTTCCGAAAGATGGTGTGCTATATCCCATATTTGACAGCTGCTGAATGAAATAGAACTAGGAATACAGAGATCTCCGTGGTTGAGCGCACGCAGAGTGGTTACCACAAGGTTTATTCAATTGTGTAATCCTGTAAAAATTATCTAAGGGACGGACTAAAATGTGTATTAATTATTCAAGAGATTACAGATATTTTTCTAATAGTCTACAATTTTTTTTAAATAATTTTAGATTTAATACCAAGAAAGCGTCAAGGGGTTTAACATACCTCCAGGAGCAAGGAATTCTGGGAAGGACGGCTGAAGATATTGCACAATTCTTCCACACAGATGAACGCTTAGATAAGGTTCATAATCATTGATCTTTACATTATTATAAGTTATCATGTTTCTGACTTTCTCTGTGGAATGCGCTATATAAGGGTGACATATGTTTTTACACTGTTGTTTTGTGGGACCTTAGCAATAATATCCAGACGGCAGAAATGTCCATTATGTTGACATCTGGCCATCATTCATAAACCATACATATATAGACTGTTCCTTGCAATGCTAGTCTGTTTTTAGTGAAGAGTACAACATTTGTCATTGTTAATGGTGTAATAAATATTAAATTCATTATTACTTTTATATCATAATATTTTATATTTAATTGCTTCTAATATTGTTTTATTTATGTCAATTTCATTCTTTATTTTTATTATTTCAGACTGTGATGGGAGATTACTTAGGCGAAAATGATAAGTAAGTTAATAAGTCATTTAAAAGAAAGATTTCAAACTTCTTAATCTAATTTTTGGCCAATAATATCTATGAAAATTTCATAACTTATAGGACTACAATTTGACTATTGGAGGTAAACAACAGTTTAACCATAGTTTAAACAACACTGCTTGAGATCTGAGCATGCAGTCTTCTAAAAATTGTTGTGTTGGTATGTAAACAGTGCAGTAATTGGATTGATCAATGCTTTTTATTCATTTATATATATCAATGCATCACAATCTGTTTTCATTCTTTTATAGGTTCACTAAAGAAGTGATGTATGCCTATGTGGATCAGATGGACTTCAGTTCCAAGAACATTGTTGCGGCATTGCGGGAATTCCTAGAAGGGTTCCGTCTGCCTGGCGAAGCCCAGAAGATTGACAGGATGATGGAAAAGTTTGCGAGTCGTTATATCGAGAACAATGCCGAACAGAACATATTCGCAAGTGCAGATGCGGCATACGTGTTGGCGTACTCTATCATCTTACTCACTACAGATCTACATAGTTCACAGGTATGTATCCTGGTATTAGTGAGAGAAATAGAATATATAATATATTATACAACACCTGTATATATTCTGTTCATTTGATTGGTTGAAAACAAGTCACGTGAGATTGAATTAAAATTAATATTCCATATTTATTTGAGTACTAGTCAATGATAGTTAAATAGTACTTTTTCATCTCCAAGACAACAAAAATCTCAAATGCAACGCTACCTGAGAGAAAAAATTTGTCTAGCGTAGTTACAACCTGCGCGTCAACAAGGAGTTAGTCATTCAATAGCCCTCGCTCCGCCGATAAAATGGCAGGTCCATTTGGTACTGTTTTGGTCCATTGTACTTTTGAGCGAAGAAGGTTTTGAGGAATTACTGAATGAAAGTAATGCCGAATCAACAAATAAGGCAATAAAATATACAGTAAATCACATAAAACCCTGGGAGTAAAGAAGATTTGGCAAAGATTTTGCTATCGTTTAATACAGCAGCCTAGCTGTAGGCCTCTCTAGGCTACACCCAAAAAATGCAGAGGTTTTGTATGAAACAAATCATGAATGTTTCTTATTCATACAATGTTGTAGAATTTTTTATGAGGTGAAAGATTAAATGTTCTGTTGAACTCGGCTACGCCTCATTGAATAGAACATCCAATCTTTAACCTCATGAAATATTCTACACCATTGCACTTATAAACATTTATTATTTGTATAATATTAAATGTAATTCTCTATAAAGTACGAGATAAAGATTTTTATTTTTGTTATGATTATTGAACTATAAACTATTGCTCAGCTAACCTAATTTTTTGGCAGGTTTTTTTTATAATATTGGATTGTTCATTTTTTTTTATATAGGTGAAGCACAAAATGACAAAAGAGCAATATATTAAAATGAACCGTGGGATCAATGACAGCAAGGACCTCCCTCCCGAGTACTTGTCAGAAATTTACGACGAGATTGCGGATCAGGAGATTAGAATGAAACAAACCACATCGAGCAAAGTTACAACCAAAGCATCATGTAAGTCACAAAACCAAAAATAATTTGTTGCTTTGAGGCAACGAACCATATCTTAGGGTATGAAAGTAGACCCCTTACCACGAAATTGATCATTTGTTGCTATGACTTTGTCAGCCCTCAATGCATATAGACAAATAATCACAAAACAGCAGGCATGGTTTATGATATTATATACATTTATAGAGTGTTATTATGCAATTAGTGATTGCGTATTATATTTGCCGAATCTGCAACAGATTTTAAACTGTGAAACAATGTGACTGCTTACTGCATGATAAAACTATATGGTACTTTATATTTTTTAGGAAATATTTTTACTATGTTGCAGCTCCATTTTAAAAAAAGAAAAATAATGTTTTATTTAATGACATTTTCAAGATCAACAACAGGGCGACTTGTTATGAACGTCTGATAATTGATAAATATATTTTTGCTTCAGCATTAACCAGTGAGAAACAGAGGAGATCGATGTTCACATTTGAGATGGATGCCATTGCTCAGACGGCCAAGAATTTGATGGAGTCGATCAGCCACGTCCCCTCAAACTTCACTAGCGCATCTCATCAAGAACATGTTAGACCAATGTTTAAGGTAAGTGAACACATAAGGAGTTCATGTAAGTCAGCAAATATAGCATTTGTTAATAAATAAAAAAAGATAGTTTGTGTTGAAATCCAGAAAACCTTGAATAAAATTACAGATATTGAACTGTTCATTTACAATCTAGAGAATCAAACTAGAGCAGTCTCTCCATAGAGTGCATACCTCACCCTGTGCCTGAATATACGCAGGCTGTGTATGGGCGATTCCATTATTTTCTTTTATGTTCAAGGGTTAAAAAAATCAAATTTCCATGACCTTCAACTTGTTTTTTTACCTTTGCTTCCCAAAGGTTAATCATCTCATAGATTATGTACCATTCAACTAAACCTTATGATAATCTATTCCTAAGTTTTAAGTTAATCTTCTCTTTCTTAGCTTATTATGTATCATTCCACTAAACTTTATGATGATCCATTCCTTAGTTTTTGCGTAATCTTGAAAACAGAGACAGACACCAGTGAATACATAACTCCCTTGGCAGAGGTAATAATGAGACAGATTAAAGTAAAAACAAATCGGTGTTTCCTGATTTACAGACATTTAACTACAAAAATCCTTGCCAGTTAAGATAGGAACAATGTTGTTTATGCATCTGTCGATTGAATAATATTTTTATATTATTGTTATATAATAAACAGGTTGCGTGGACGCCTTTTTTGGCAGCGTTCAGCGTGGGTCTCCAGGATTGTGATGATGCTGACATCGCCGGTTTCTGCCTTGATGGAATTCGCTGTGCAATACGTATAACCTGCATATTCCACATGGTCGTAGAACGTGACGCATACGTACAGGCATTGTCACGGTTTACCCTGTTGACCGCCAATTCATCAATCACCGAGATGAAGACAAAAAATATTGACACAATCAAAACGTTAATAACAGTTGCACATACGGATGGCAACTATTTAGGAAAATCATGGCTGGAGGTTAGAAATAATAACTTATTGATGCTTTGTTTATAAGAATAAGTAGCAGTATTAGTGAAAAAATCTTTTTATTATTATATTATTATTATGAATTTTATTTCAAAATAAATTCTGTGTGATAAGCCACTGGATGATAAAGGACCCTTTTGATTTGTTTAAATCTAGATCTTGAAGTGTATTTCACAATTAGAATTAGCGCAATTAATTGGAACCGGTGTCAAGACAAAGTTTCTAGCATCTGGCTCATCTTCAGGAGGGGGAGGCCATAGCAATGATTTGTTAGAGTCTGGCGAAGGGGGTAAGATTACCTTTTTAAACTTGTCATTCTCTGTGTTCATGTGATAGTGTCATGTGTATTGTTTGGTGTTTATTTTTTTTTTTCAGATTTGATGTTAACTTTTGTGCTCCCAATCAAAATATTGAGGGATTGCATTTAATTATAACCACTAGTTTATATACTTGGGCAAGGTATTTTACTTTTATGTCACGACTGATGTTTTGAGCTATAAGACTACAGTAATATCCAGTATTTAATGCATTAGGTACTCCAAAGCGGTACGGGAACATGCTGCTCCTCATTTTGTTGACGTGAAGCACTGCGCGGTGACGTAATGGTAATGAAGCTGCGAAACATAGACTGGTTCTTTTAGGGTCTGACAAGATAATTTTAGACATAAGCACTGCGGCACAGAATACTGTAGATGGAATTAATTGTATTTACGTGACGTAAGCAAATCGCGAATCATGGCAAACAGGTTCTAATTTTTCTGTGGATTTTGGCTGTAATTTTCATTCTTATTCAATATTCAGCCTTGAAAAGTAGCGAAATGTTGTCGTGACATATAGAAACCCCAGTGTATGAGATATGAGCACATTTCAGAGGAGATAGTGAAGTTACGCGAAGGCGATTAGTAGAATTAATTTATATATATAATCAGAAAAACAAGAATGTTTTAACGTTAATAGACAGATGGTGGTATATACTTTTGGATATAAAATAAATGGTTAATTATTATCATTCTGCCAGCGATGGGAAGAATGAGTGGACTGGACCAGAAGAAGCTAGCTATACTGCAAGAAGCAATGGGTGAGACGTCATCTCAAAGCATCGTGGTGGCGGTAGACAGAATCTTCACCGGCTCAACGAGGCTTGATGGTGATGCAATAGGTAGGTTTAATTATTGGTGATTATAATATCAAAGTAGTGAAATCTACAAAAAAAAAAATTTTCTCTGTGAATTACAGTACGTTTTACTTCATATAGAAATTGCTTAACAACCAACTTAAGGTACAATACAAAGAATATGTGCCTCATATTTATTTTTTTGATTGGCAATAGCTAATAATTGTAATAGTTATAATAATTATCGAAGAAGGAAACTCAAATATTGAATTTTGTATTTTTAGAATATTTTTGGCTCAATACAAAGAATTCATGTTAATAAATGCATAAAATGGTGTCAATATTTATCATAATTAATTGATAATTATTGTCTTTCTTGTTCCTAGTTGACTTTGTGCAAGCTCTTTGCAAGGTGTCTATAGATGAATTACATTCCACAGTTCATCCTAGAATGTTTAGTCTTACTAAGATAGTTGAGATCTCCTACTACAACATGGGCCGTGTCAGGATCCAATGGTCCAGGATATGGGCTGTACTGGGAGAACATTTCAACAAGGTTTGTAATAAAACCACTGTAGCGCCCTCTATGTCATAGGAGTTATCTATCTCAATATAATGTATATGAGGAAGGGATTTATTGTATAAATTATGAGTGACAAGAAAATCCTAACTTTGTCCAGAATTTGAACCCAGAATTCTCCGATCTGAGGGCGAGCATCTTGTCTGCTAAGCCACTGCTGATTCCCATACAGGCAGAATGATTATGAACTATGCATATCTAGCATTATTCTCTGGTTAGTTTTAATTGTTTTGAATTTCCTTAAGATAATCTTATCTTAATTATGATTCATGAAATTTGGGCATTACCTAATTTGGGCATCAATTAATATGGTATTTTGTTGCTCCATCCTAGGTGGGCTGTAACCCTTCAGAAGATGTTGCATTTTTTGCGGTTGATTCCCTTCGTCAATTGTCAATGAAATTCTTGGAGAAAGGCGAGTTGGCTAATTTCCGTTTCCAAAAAGAGTTCCTTCGTCCATTTGAACTCATAATGAAGAAAAATAGGTGAGTTATTTAAGAAACTGGTTTTACATTTGATTTATAGCCACGCACATATTTATGTGCTTCATCCAAAGTGAAAATACATAAAAAATGAAAACTGTTGGAAATATTAAATCAATATACAGTAGTAGGACACTACAGTACAGATAGTATCCATTGCTGCATACCAGCCTGGCCTTACAGATTAGTGGTCAGATCAACCAAATTATTATACATAGTATTTGGCCTTCATATAATTCCTTTTAAAAAATGTCACAAAGCATTTTTTTTTTTCGACCAATGAAACATTGACAAACATCATTTTCTGCTTCTTTTATTGACTTATTGTTTCATTGATCTTTTCTGTGCAGGTCACCCACAATCCGAGACATGGTGGTAAGGTGTATAGCACAGATGGTCAATTCTCAGGCTGGTAACATTAGATCCGGTTGGAAGAACGTATTTTCCGTGTTCTTCCTGGCTGCTTCTGACCATGATGAAGGCATCGTTGAACTTGCATTCCAAACAACTGGCAAAATTATATGTAAGTTGGCTGCTTACTTAAACGCTGTTTATATATAGAAGGATCTAGTTTGTGAATTCTTACCTGGATAAACTATTGCCAATAACACACCAACAAGTAAAAATCCCCTATAAAACATTGAAATAATGTTTGAAAATGTGTTTCCTTTGTGATCCACAGCTTCTGTATTTGAGAAGTACTTTTCAGCAATCCTAGACTCCTTTCAAGACGCTGTGAAGTGTCTGTCAGAGTTTGCATGCAATGCAGCTTTTCCTGACACCAGTATGGAGGCTATCAGACTAATTAGAAACTGCGCTAAATATGTCATGGATAAACCACAAGTAAGTTTTTGCTACTTGTCTAAACAAAAAATATAATATATTAAAATTTATGAATTCAATTATATATGACAAATTTTGAAAGTGTGTGAGATACATTTATAAACAGCATTTTGATGTATAGTAATTTGTTTGTGATTGATATGGGGCTTGCCATGCCAAAATGAGCCTCAGTGACCAAAACGAAAAATTGACTTTTGAATAATATTCATATTCTCCACATCATAAGCTTTAAAATGATAAGTCATTTACTTGCATCTGCTTGCTATTGCTGAAGGTAGGAGTAAAAGTATTACGGCTTTTCTCTGTATTAAAGTATACAATACTGGCACATTTTTATGCTGATTACTCAGTTTAAGATTAATGACAGTAAACTTGTTTTTGGGATGGCAAGCCTCATATGCTCTCACCTCAGCAATATGCCACAGTAAGCTGTCTCATAGTTTGAAAATGCACATTGTTTATGTCAAAGGTGAAAACAACACAAAATATTAAAGCAGAGTCTTATGCTCTGTTTACATTATGCCCATATATAGTCATGATGTGCCTATATATGGTCATGATGTGATGTCATCATGACCATATTTAGGCATGTCACATGTTTTTTGCGAAATAAAATTTGGTAGTGTCTCATAGTTTGAAAATGCACATTGTTTATGTCAAAGGTGAAAACAACACAAAATACTAAAGCAGAGTCTTATGCTCTTTCTACATTATGCCCATATATAGTCACGATGTGCCTATATATGGTCATGATGTGATGTCATCATGACCATATTTAGGCATGTCACATGTAGTGTGGACATTGCTTTAAACAGTGTGTAGATGAAGGTTCTTCTGTTTATAGTCAAATTTATAGTTTGTTTCATATGTTTAGATACATGTTACTGATAGCTGATTTAAACATTTCTTACTTTAGATGTTCAAAGAACATGCAGGTGACCAAGAAGTTCAAGTTAGTGAAGAAGACAGGGTGTGGGTCAAAGGTTGGTTCCCGGTGCTCTTTGAACTCTCATGCATCATTAACCGATGTAAGCTCGATGTTAGGACCAGGTAAGAAATATATGATGCATGGTGGTGATAGTATTGGCAATGGGGAGTGTGATAAAGATGTTTTGTTGAAGTTGGTACTTTTGATGAAATTTAGAGTTGTTTTAGAAAGTTGTGGTTGAATGTGGTTACTGTAGGTAACTATAGGTTTTAAAACCTTTCAAGACCATAGAATACAAGAAATACCTTAACTATTTTTATTGCATTATATTAACTTGTAATTTTATCATTATTCATTATGTTTACTTTTTTGTTCATTGTAATGTATGTATTATGCAAAAAAGATATAATTATAACAATATTGAATGGTGAGTATGTACCGGCTGCTATATAAAAAGAATTTAAAGTGAATTTAAAATGTTTTACTATTTGTGTTCTGAAAACTCTTTGATTTCTTCAGGGGCTTAACTGTGATGTTTGAGATTATGAAGAGCTATGGGCATACTTTCTCAAAACACTGGTGGAAAGACTTGTTTCAAATTGTGTTTAGGATCTTTGATAACATGAAATTACCTGAACAACAGGTGGAGGTATGTACATGTATTAAATAGTATAATTAATGTCATAATAAGCAATATTTAAATTATTGTATATTGAATATGGTATGAGGTGGTAACTGTAGTCTTGGGGTCAAGTCATGATATGCACAGTACTCAAAAAACTTATATTCATTATCATCTTATTCTTTGTGATGTCATAATACTCATAACCATCAACATTATCATCATTATCATCACCATTACAATTATTTTCATCATCATTATCAACACCTTTATTATTATTATCATTAATGTTTGATGATCATGTTCAAAATTTTCATCATCCTCTTTTTATCACTAACACTAACAACATTATTAATTTATCATCAAAGTTGTTATTGTTTTTATCATTATCCACACCATAAACATAATCATAAACACCATTATCATAATTGTTATTTAATAGTAAGGCTCTGGAGGTTAAAAAAAAAAACTTCTAAGATACAAAAAAGTGGAAAATAGGGTGGTTACACACCTTTTACCCCAGTTTTTAAATATTCAAAAATCTGTATCTCATTAACCATTTCCAAGTTTTTCTCCAATATGCTTTTTGTGTGTTGAAACACATATCAAAACATTTTTTTCCTCCGGAGCCTGGATCAAATCCTTATAATCATCACCAACAACATTATCATCATCCTACCATCCAACCTACTCATCACAGGTGTCATAAAAGATTCAGTGACATTCCAAAATTTAACAATTTAACCTGAGAGTATCCAAATTAAAAATATACATTAGAGTGCTCCTTGCCCCACTGTACTATTATTATTATCTTTGATTCTGATTGGTAGAAAGCAGAATGGATGACGACAACATGCAATCATGCTTTGTACGCAATCATTGACGTATTCACACAGTACTTTGACATTCTCAACGACATACTCCTTGATGAACTTTTAAGCCAACTCTTCTGGTGTGTCCAGCAAGGTAAATATCACATTAAAATGCTTAAAGCTGTAGTCTACTTTGTGAATACTTAATCTAGATAAAACCGACTATTTCCATTTAAGTAGAAGTCTCCTCTAATATTAGAATTGTCCTACGTCATATATATCAAAGCTAATTACCGTGTTTGCATCATCATTATTTTATTTTCTTTACAGCAATAACAACTTAGAAGAGATATTCTAAGAAAAAAATTATAAGCAAGATAATAAAAGATTTGAATAAAATATTCTGAGACATGCTTTTCAACGGGTGTTTTAGTAGATTAATTTTTTTTCATGCAGTAATTTGAGATTTTTAACAACAAATTCTTTGTTGAGATTTGGGTTAATTTGTTTTATGTACAGATAATGAGCAGCTAGCAAGATCAGGAACAAATTGCCTTGAAAACCTTGTGATTTCAAATGGAGAGAAATTCAGCACTGTCATGTGGGACAAAATCTGCCTCTGCATGATGCAAATATTCAATTCAACCATTCCAGAATTGTAAGTTGATGCCTTCAGATTTTATTGATTGTCATTGAGATAGATATGTCATGGTGACATGTAATTGACCTTTCCGCTAAGCCCCACCCTTGGAAATTTAAATAAAAAAAAAAAAATTCAATTATATTATATTCAATTAAAACTAAATTATTATTATTTTTTTTAATAGAACCATAATTTATATAGCGCCTTTCACAATCCACAGATCATACAAGCGATTATACAAGGCGCTGGCATCATTATTTCCCTGGTCACTGGATACTGAATTGGCAGATCCGCACATTGTGCAACTTTCTCTGCTCCCTGGGGAGTATCATTGCTGCTTGAACGCACACGACCTTTACGTTCAATGCCATACCATCCTACGAGGTACCCATTTATACTCCTGGTGGGGAGAGGCAAACATAAGTAAAGTGCCTTGCCCAAGGACACAACAAGCAATGCGACAAGCGTCGGTCTCGAACTCCCAATCTCACAATCAGAAGTCCAACAGCTTACACGGCGTCACATGCTAAATAAAAAAAGAAAGAAAACAACAGTGTAAAATGTGCATTTATTTATGGGACAGCACATGCGTTCGTGAGACATGCATATTCCTGGACCTGTACTGATTGGTCAGTTGTTAAGCTTGATTGGCACTCCAGAATGGTCTATATTGCTACGCCTCCACAGCTAGACACAGTTCATCATGAAAAAAATATTATTGGAATTGCATATTAATATATATATTTTTAAGTAGGATAATAATTATAATAAGCTTATCAATTATATCCCTCCTATTTTTTTTTTTAAAGATTATCAACGTGGAAACCTGAGGGTTACGAAGTAGAACTGACAACTCCACGTCAAGACCAAGACAATGCACAGGTGAGAAAAATAATGGAATCATGAAAAATTGGTCTAAATATTTAGCGGACCCTAAAATTTTCATGGTCCTTTTTGAATAGGTAGACCCCCAATTATTTTTATTTTTTTGACCCCAGGTTGGGAACCATTGGTCTAAAATATAGTCTGGTCATTTATTGTGTCTGCTCTAAAGTAGGCTATCAGGGTTAGCTAATCCATCTGGATTTTCCCTTAGGATCCGGCAGGGAGAGCAGGATCACCAGTGAATGGGGAGACGAGTCCCAATAAGAAGGAGCAGCTACAAAGGACAGGTAGCATACACAGTGTACATAGCATATCGAGCATCACAAGTACAGAGAGTAAAGGCAGTAAACGAGAGTATCAGAGTAAGTTAAAGAAAAACAATGTAACCATTATAATGATGTTGATGGTGGTGATGATGATGATAACATGATAATGATGACAATTAATAAGGGAAAAATAATCTAAAAACAACATGGTGAAACTAATCATGACAGTAGTGACGATTCTACTGATGAAAATGCTCATGGCAATGAACATGCTGATGACGTCAAATAAGACATTGGTGAAAGCATTAATGTCATATCAAGGCAGCTGGTCTGTATGTTTTTCTATTTTTAAAAGAGTGTTATTAAGTAATTATTTGCTCTATAAGGAGTAAATAAAATGATAAGCTTGCAAGGATAATGCATTATTGAAGTATGTAAAAAATACAAATTCTAACCAAAAAACAAGTTATTCTATAGAATAAAGATGAGAATTTTATTTTATTTTTTTTTTTCAACTCTATTTAGAGAGGGCGCCCTTCTAACTGGGCCTGGATGGCCAGCAGATATTCAGGCCCTCTATCAAAAATGTAGTTAAATTTATTACAAGAAACGACAATTACAATCTAACAGCATTACAAAATTGAATTACAATAAAGACAAATTATATAAATATAATATCAGTAAAATTAAATGTATCTAATTCAGTAAATGATAAACGAAATTAATAGAATATTTGAAAAAGTTGACAAGGTAACAACAGTGATGTTGAGCCGGAACTGCTATACTATATGTATTTTTATTTTTTAAGATGTAATAATTACTCTATAATAATATTCTAACCACAAATGAAATTGCTCTTGTAGAAACAGCAGCTGATCAGAAACTCTTCACGTCCATCTTAATCAAGTGTGTGGTACAACTTGAGTTGATTCAAAGCATCGACAGCATTCTGTTCTTTCCAGCCACGAGTCGGCACGAAGATGAGGAGAATATGAAAGCAGTACAGGTTAGACTATAAAAAGACAATTGCCAATTTTATACCATTAATATTTACCTGGATAAAACAACTTTAGCAATGATGCTCAAACAAGCACCCCCCTTGAGAATAATGGAACATCCTAATGTAAAGAACACTATAATAATGATACACATGTCCTCATTCTTTTCCTTTAATTTAATGACAAGCGACAAATAATATGACAGTTGTTAAATTTATAATTTTATAGCAATGCAACAATGCAGGTTAGGAATTAAAAAAACAATTGTGATCTAAAATATAGAAAATGCTGAATTAAGGTTAGCAGGTGCTATACGTAGAATATTAGTTGTTGCTGAAGCTGCTAAAAAAACAAGATTCAACTGTTAATATGTATAAATGTGATGTATTCCCTCAAAACTTGCACATTAGTCCAGGTTTATTGGAACACATCACATTTTTTTACTTTAATATTAACATAATTATATTTTTTTTAAATGTCTTGTTTCTGTAGGATGGTAGTTTTAGTTCCGCATTCCTGACATCCTCCGAGAAGGATGACCCTGGAATGTTCCGATACCTTTCCGTTGATCAGCTTTTCAAACTTCTGGACTGCCTTGAGCAATCCCACCGGTTTGCTAAGCAATTTAACACAAATAATCCTCAGAGAGAACTACTTAGGAATGCAGGTATGGATATATATTATTTATGTACAGTAAATATAATTAATTCTTGAAAATAACAAAAAAATAACCCTTTACTTAGAATTGGCTTCTAGGTCCTTGTTTTGAAGTTCAATAAAAAGAAACAAAAAAAAAAAAAGTTACTATATTAATGTTTATAGAAGAAACCTTCATGATTGTATTCAATACTTGTTTTATTGATTGGCTTCCCAGGTTTCAAAGGGAAAAGTAAACCTAACTTATTAAAGCAAGAGACTTCCAGCTTGGCTTGTTTACTTAGAGTGCTCTTTAAGATGTACTCTGATGAGAAACGACAAGAATTCTGGCCCAAGATCCAACAAAAACTCATCAGGTAAAAGTCAATGTTATTCATA